AGTGTTGATCATTTAGTACCAATTTGATGGCAAGTACACATGGTGCATGTTTTTCCACTCTTGTGAAACCTCACTTTGAAGGATGGGCTCAACCTCTATCCAGGATAATATAAGAGGTGCTAGTTCAGCATTGTCTTTTGTAGTTGAGTAGTATTCCGTGGTATACATAAACCATGTTTTATTAATCCACTGACGTATTGATGGGCACTTGGGTTGTTTCCACATCTTTGCAATTGTGAATTGTTCTGCCATAAATATTCAAGTACAGATGTTTTTATTATATAATGTCTTTTTTTATTTTGGGTAAGTGCCTAGTAGTGGGACTACTGGATAAAATGATATTTCTATTTTTAGCTCTTTGGGATATCTCCAAATTACTTTCCACAGGGTTTGTACTAATTTGCAGTCCCACCAGAAGTGTAAGAGTGTTCCCATCTCTCCACATCTACACCATCATTTGTTGTTTGGGGACTTTTTAATAAAGGCCATTCTCACTGGAGTTAGGTGATATCATTGTGGTTTTGATTTGCATTTTCCTAATGATTAAAGATGTTGAACACATTTTTATATGTTTGCCAGCCATTATAGTGTCTTCTTTTGAAAAGTTTTGGTTCATGTCCTTTGCCCACTTTTTGACAGAATTATTTGAGTTTTTCTTGTTAATTTTGTTAAGTTCTATATAGATTCTTGTTATCAGCCTTTTATAATATGTGTAGAAAGCAAATTTTTTCTCCTGTTCTGTAGGTTGTCTGTTTGCTGTAATGATAGTTTCCTTGGCTGTGCAAAAGCTTTTTAATTTGATCAGGTCCTATTTATTTATTTTTGTTGCTGCTGTGATTGCTTTGTGGGTCTTCTTCATAAATTCTTTACCTAGGCTGATATCTATAAGAGTTTTCCCAATATTTTCTTCTAAAATTCTTAAGGTTTCATGCCTTAGGCTTAAGTTTGTTATCCATATTGAGTTGATTTTTGTGAGAGTTGAGAATTCAGAATCCAGTTTCAATCTTCTGCATGTGGTTATCCAGTTTACCCAGCACCATTTATTGAATAGGGATCCCTTTCCGCAATGTATAGTTTTGTCTGCTTTGTCAAAGATTAGATGAATATATAAGGATGGTTTTATTTCTGAGTTCTCAGTTTTATTCCAAAGTCTATATCTTGTGCCAATACCATGCTGTTTCGGTTACTATAGCCTTGTAGTAAAGCCTGAAGTCTAGTAGGTTGATGCCTCCCAGTTTGTTCTTTTTGCTTAAGATTGCTTTGGCTGTATGAGGTCTTCTAGTTTTTAAGATCTATTTTTTTGAAAAAAATTTAATAGTATTTGATGCAAAGATGTAAGAAAGAAAACCCAGAAGTCATAATAGAATATAATTGACAGATCTGACTAGGTAAAAATTAAAAACTTTTGTGCAGTGAAACAGTCCCTAAACAAAATCAAAGGAAACAACAGATACAGAGAAATGTTTACAACACATTTAGCAAAGTTTTAACATGCTTAATAAGGAAAGAAACAAAAAAATTAATTTTATAAAAGGTAAACATCACAAAAGAAAAATAGACATAGAACAGCCACAACATAAGAGAAAAATTCAAATAATAATGAACACATGAACTCAGCCTCACAAGAAATCAGGGCACTGTGAATTAGAACAACAATGAGATATCAAATTTTGCTTATCAAACTGGCAAGATAAGGCGGACATAGTCCAGTGCTGGCAAGGATGTGAAAAAACATCCTTGGTAGGAAAATATACTTGTAAACATGTTGGGATGAAATTTGGAGGTATATATGAAAATTTAAAATATTTCTACTCTATAACTCAGTAATCTTACTTCTAAGACTTTTTCCAACAACATTTTTGGAGAACAGTTTGGTAGTTATCTATGAAAATTTAAATCCTCATTCCCTTTGACTCAACCATGACATTCCTTAGTATCTATCCTAAGATATATGAAAAGATAATCATGACAGCATTTTTTATAATAGAGTTGGAATTACTAAAGGTCTAACAATAGAAAAATGGTAGAATAAATTACAAACTATGTAGCCATGAAAAAGAATGGAGTAAATCTATAGATAGTAACCTTGATTATATAATATCATTGCATTAGGCCTAAAAAAGACAAGTCACTGAAATTATTGCAATTTGAATTTAAAAAATACATGTATATGCATGTAGAGACATGACTATATACATGCATAAAAAAGCAAACATGCACCAATATGTTAGTGGTGGTTGTATTCAAGATGAAACTAGATGAACAAAGGTGGATTGTGATTTGGGAGGATTATATTTTACTTCATAGATACAGATGTAGATTTATTTTTAACAGTGCTGGGATTGTGCAAAGGATGGAAGGTAGCCATTTTCCACCCTGCCTGTGCATCTTTGTAGAGAGAAGTGAAGGCCCCACCCTAAACCTCCTGAATTAGAAGCTCTGCAAGTAACACCCAGACACAGCACATTTTAAACACGCAGATGATTCTGGTCTGCAGCCGAGATTGAGAAACACTGAGTTAAGGCATTGAAAAGGTAGTAAGTCAGGAAAGCTGATGTATGTAGATCCTTCTTCCACTAGGTTTGACAGATGAACAAAGAAGTGAATTAAATTGTAAAGCCACCAAAGGGTCAAGGAAGATGTGAGAAAGTTGTAGTTGAGATAAAGATGCCATAGGACAGAAAAGATTAAATGTGTGAGGAAGGTAAAGGAAATGGAAAGGAAAGAAAAGTAACTTAATGTTTCTAGTGAGGACTAAACTTTGATCTTTTTCTTTGCCCAAAAAAATTCCTTCCTAAGAGGACCCGGTGAGTCATGACAACAAATGATAAAAACTCAGGAAACAGGTTTTTATGATGTTGTTCACTCCTAGCCTGATTCGGTATAGCATCACATGAAAGATAGAAGACCCTTAAAAATTCCTTTCAGCTGATTCCTGGTCTTTTGGACAAAACCTAACTCTTTCAGCCAATTGGCAACTTAAGAATCCCTAAATCCACCTATGACTTGCAAGCCCCTGCTTCGAGATGTCCTGCCTTTTGGAGCCAAACCAATATATGCCCTCCATGTACTGATTTATTATTCTACCTGTAATTTCTATCTCCCTAAAAATCTATAAAAATCAAACGGTAACTCACCCACAACAAGTCCACTTGCTCAAGGCTTCCTGGACATGGCCCCTGGCCATGGTCCTCAAATTTGGCTCAAAATAAACCCCCTGAGATTATTTTAGAGTTTGTCTTCTTTTCAATTAACACTAGACTTTCTGTTACATGGCAGGCGTTTTCCATATGCTTTCACTGTTATTATTCCTTTTACTGGATTTTTGAGGCATATGTTACTGTGTCTCATTTACAGTAAGTAAGTGAAGCATAGAGAAGCCACACATATAGCAAGGACCTCTGCCAACCTCTGGGCTCTTTGCTCTGCATCAGGCTTCGAGAAAGTTCTTGGAGGCAGGGAGCAGATATGGGGTCCAGGACACAGCTGAAGGAGTCAGCTTGGAAAAAAGAAAGAACATATCCACTGAGACAGAGACGCAGAATCTGAACAAGAAGAGGACACAAGTAAAAGGGGCTGGAATGTGTCAATTCGCAGAGAAGGAGTGAGAAAACCGCAGTGGGGCAGAAAGGGAAGATGCTGAGGCACACAGAAGACTTTCTTCATCGTGTCAGGAAAGCTGGGCCAAAGGAACTCACTAACTCTGTGCCGCACATCAGAGCAGAGAGCAGCCTTGCCCTTCTCACCCAGGGAGATGTGGATTAGCCACTCACAGCCAGTCTGTCACCTGCTGGAAGCCAAGAGTACAGATAAGTTGAGCACCTGAAACTGAGTGGGAACCTCAAGGAGGAAAAGCAAAGCCTCTGTCTTCAAAGAGCTGACAGTCTGACAGTCTGGAGTTAGCTAGAGTAATTTTCTTTTTCACTAGCTGTTAAATAGTCTGATTAGAACAACTACAGTGAAACAGAGTGATCCTTTGCTTCACAAAGTTCTTATAGAAACATTCATTCTTCCATGTTTCTATTAGATCTCATGTGGCCCACTGGTTTTAAAAATAAATCGTAGTTGCATGCCTTTATAGACACCCGTGAGTATAAGTAAATATACCTCAATCATCACAGGAAGTACGTGTAGGCTGTGCATGAAAGATGCATTGCCCATTAGCTAAGAAAACCAGGTGAGGTCTACGGTTAAATCACACAAGGAAATGTTATTGAATAGGAAGCATTAGGTTATTACGCCTATGCAGGTGCCTCTGGGCTTCCAATTCAAAAGGATCACCAACACATCCTGGAATTTTCAATGGCTTCCTGAGGCTTGGCAAGTGCCCACTGCTGACTGTGATTTGCCAGTTATTCCAGAGTGGCAGTCAAATCAAAAGGGAAAGGTCCAGACTTCCAATAACTTTGTTTTTTGAAATACAATAACCTTTGTTTAAAATATTTCCTTGGTGGCCCTCTGGCTTACATAACAATCAGATGCATTATTAATTAATAGCATCAGACACTGGCAACTTACTTATTCAGGGATAACTATTTGATTCAGGCAGCTGCTACTATTAGTTTCAGTACTATTTTAGCAAGAGAAAATGTGGTGGTTTTTTGCAAGAGAAAAGGTGGTGATTGTGTGTGGTTTTGTTATTATTAAAAAAAAAAATAGAACAACATACTTTAGGGCCAGTGGAGTGCTGCTTAATCCCAGTACTGTTAGAAAAGGTAAATTCTGTATTTGTAGAAAAACACAAAAGTGCGCATTATTTAGTCAGCGCCCATGTTTATGTATTATATGCATGTGACAGAGAATAAACATACTACCCTGGAAGTTTTGGAGTTGGTTATTAAGAAAAGAAAGCAAAACCTTCCTGGGCCCCTATTTTCTTTTGCCCCTTTCTCTCTGACTCCTCCTTCTTCTCTGGGAAGGTGAGATTCAAATCCCTGGAGCCCCCTCGAGTATTGTTCAGCCGCTGTTCACTGTTACTCAGATATAAGGAGAGAAATTTGACACCAAGACACTCTACATCTTGGCTGCAAGAGAAATATCGTCTTTGAGGTCATTCGACTTATTAAGACGTTTTTATTACTGTCTTGTCTGTTCCTTTTCTGGTGCAGTCTCAACGGAAGAAGTGTGGCCCCGGTCCTGCAAAGCCCATCTGGGGGGAATCCGTTCTTTCTTCTCCACATCTTCGCTGCGTTCCGGCTCCCCCTACCACCTCCGTTACCCTGTAAACCCGCAGGCTCTGGACGTTCTGCACGCTGAAGAAAATCACTGTTTTGCCTCCAGCGAGGAACATAAATGTTGCAACGCTGACTCCTCCTCTCCTGAAGAAAGAGTGAACAAGTGCACCGAGTTGGGCTCCTTCTCGCAGAGGCGCCGCGCTGGGGACTGGAGCGGAGGCTGAAACCCCCGCCGCCCGCGCTCGGGCTGGGCTCTCCCCTGCCCTGCCTGCCTCTCTCGCTCCTTCGCCCCGGCTTTCTGGATCTCACCGGCTGTGCGTGAAACAGCTGTCCGCACAGCGGCTCTCCCCGTCCCCGAGCAGGAAGTGCTCGGGGACCGATATGGCAGACTTTGCTTCCCGGCAAAAGTGAGTACCCAGGCGGGGGAAGCCTGCTGCGGGCGGCGTGCGGGCGGGCGCCGACCCCGGGCTGCGGGTTCGAGGCCGGCGTGCGGACGGGGAGCGGGGTGGCGGCCGACCAAGACGCCCGCAAGCGGGAAAGCCCCGGCTCTGACCGCGGCCAACATCGGCGTCCCTTGTCAGAACTAAAAATACTCTAAGGTGGCTTACCTCCGCTACCAGCCCCCTCCCCCCACCAGGGTTTTACAAATTGCCCGGGGCATGCATGAGTCTTTTAAAAAGGCATCTTCACATGCACCCTTGAGAATGAGTTTCGGCGTGATTTCGGGGTTCTTAGAGTGTGAATTATTTACATCAAAAGAAAAGACTAGCGGGCAGGGGGAAGGGGACAGGTGAGGCGATGACAGCTCCAGGGACTGGAGCGTCTCCCGCGAGCTGCAGCCCCGCGGGCGCCTTGCGGGGAAAGTTCGTGGTAACGTGCGTTGACCCGAAAGGTGCGGCTCTGGCAAAAGGCAGCGGGGGTAGTGGCAGGTGAGCAGCCTCGGGCTGTGACCTGGAGCTGGATCGAGGCAGGTTGACCTAGGCAGAGGAATTCGAGCCAGAGGGGAAGCTGGAAGGAGAACCCGCTGGAGGAGACAGGAGGAGGGAGCGGCGGAGGGGAAAGTCAGGCAAACTCAGGTAACTGGAGAGCCAGTACCTGTGGAAGGGGGAAGCGAGAGCCGAAGCGGGAGTTCTGGCTCCTGGAATAGGAAAATATCCTTTTAGTGACCTCTACCTGCATCCAGGCGAAGCAGCCCACGTTGCTCTGATAACAAGCAACCTAGAGTTTTCTATGATTGGACTTGAAAATGGTTGCAAAACATTATTATTAATCTGGAGGGATTACTTTGTCTTCTTCATTCATCAAGTTGCGGGCAAAGATTTCCCACCTGAGTCTCATGCTGCTTGGCCAATGGAGTGCTGCTAATCTCAGTCCTGGCCCTCCGCTTTGCAATCTTGGGCAAGGCACTTGCCCTCTCTGGGCCTCAGTTTCTCTAAAAAATTTAGGAAAATTCATTATTTTATATATAAATGTTTAATGGGGTAGAAGTGCTGAGTAGTGCAAGAAAGGAGCAGATAAAAATTTTAATTTCATTGGCTCTTAAAAGTTGGGGGTAATAGGTCCTTTTAAGAATTAGCTCTGAGTCCTCTCGCCTGGGAAGAAATGCTCTTATGGAATAAAATTTTACATGCAATCCTCTGAGGGTTCGTGGATATTCCCCGAAGACCATACCTGAACCCCAGGTGACAATCCGTTGTCTTTAAGGACCTGCATCGAGAGCACCCAGCCTAGCCCCCCAAGCCAAGCCCTTGCTTGCAGATGGGCTGACTATGGGAGTAATCCACAGCCTTCTGAGGGGTCCGGAGTCAGCCATGCTGCCGATGGAGACAGCCCTCCTGCCGATGGAGACAGCCCTCCTGTCACGGGTGCACTCCCCAGTTTCTCATTGGCTACACCAGTTTCTGCCTCCTGGAGACCCCTCCTCACAATTCTTTTAATGACTTTCCTAAGGTGATGGTCCTTACCCCTAGAGTTTTCAGTTCTACGAACAGCACTTGAAAGCCATCTAAAGAGGGTCACTGTCTGAATCAGAGTGCCCTTCAAGTCACCTAGGTGGATGTCAGACAGTGGGGCCAAGGCTTTGTTTTTAAATGAAACACTATTTACTCCCCAAGGCATGGTGTGACTAGGCAGTGGTGTTCTTTTGGACCTGTGTACTTTGTCTTTGAGGGACTAGGGACTCATACCTGCCGGGCCCTGGGTCTTCCACTGGCAGTGCCAGCAGCAAGGTGTAGCAGAAAACACACAAAGCTTTGGAACCTAGCACACTTCAAATCTTGGCTCCCACACTTAAGCAAGTCACTGAACTTCTCTGAGCTTCACTTTTCCTATCAGCAAAATGGGGAACAAAACTGCTCTTTTTGCACAGATTGTTGGGAGAATGGAAATGCTCTTTGTATCATGCCTGGCCCATGGTCAATGACAAACTACTTTTATTAATATTAATGAAAGGTTCTAAGTAAGTGTTCAATAGTCTCATGCTTTTTAGAGCAACTTACTCTCTCTCCTATGGGGCTTGCATTAGCAGAAAAATGAGAACCAGCAGTTTTGGTCCAGTTATTCTGACAAAGCAGTGGTAGGTTCAGAATAAAGAGTCATGTTTACTGCTTCAACTGTAAAATGTCAAGTAGCAAGTAAAATATGTCCAGGGCATGGATACTGGACCCTTCTCTCAGTTGTCTTTTAACTCATAATCTTGAATAGGAAACAGCTAGATCTCTGCCTTTGTTACAAACAGTAGGGCATGGAAACAGAAGTCCTATGGCTGGATCCATCTTTAGATAAGCCAGAAACAGTCTCTGTAGATAGAAATGTCTCCATTGTTATCTTTCACAACTTGGCACAGATTTAGCCAACTCAGCTTATACTCTCTCTCCCTGGGGTCCTGGTCCCCCAGTTGCAAATAGCCAGATGAGGTAACAGTATAGGAAAGAAATACTAGAACCTTAAAAGGAGATTGAAAACCCACACAGCAGCCAAAGATTGATCAGTATATTGCAGCGAGGCGTTCTTGCATGCAAAGATGACAATATAGATACCTACTATTCACTGAGTCTCCAAGATATACTAAGCAGTTTCACTCATTACCTCAATTAATTCTCATAGTTACACTGAAGAGTGTGAGTTATCATTTAAAGATTTACAGATGAGGAAACTGAGGTTTATAGAAGTTTACATAACTTGTGCTATCAGCATAGTCTGTAAAAGGCAGAACCAGGATTCCAGCCAAGGTCTGCCTGTCTTGGCCACTGACGTTTTTGCCACTTCCCAGTGCTGCCAACCTCCCTGATATCAGAAAGTCGCATGATGCCAGCAGGATTAAGATTCTTCTAAAAGATGGGAATAACCATATCGGGTGGGTGATTTCAAGTGGTGCGAACATACACTTTGCTTGTGATGCATATTAACAGGTAGCAACAACAAAATCACCTGTGGGAGAATAATTTTCCTGACCCTTCCCAACCTCAGCTGTTAGACTTAAGATAGGAATGCCCGGCTTCAGCAGATGAGACTGGCTCCCTGCCACAGACTTCCCGGGTAATCTTTTTAGGTTAAAAAGAACTCTGGAATTTTCATTTTCTACCACCTTTAGAACTGGGCACCATTCACACTGACCTCCCTGAATGAAGCATGTATTCATTCATTCTTTATTCAACAAATCCTTGCTGAGCTCTGTGCTATCTGGGCACTTGGTGATACAGTGGGGCATAAGACAGACAGGGCTCCAGCTCTTGTGGAGCTGCTGTGCTAGAGAGAGTAACAGATAACAGGTAGGTGAACAAATACATAAATAAGATCATTTCAGACACTGATAAATGCTATGAAGAATATAAAGAGAGGAGGGGGGGCTAGAGAATGTCAGGGCTTGGGGGCAACTTTTTTTAAAATTATTATTTATTTATTTATTATTTTAACGTATTATGGGGGTACAAGTGTTAAGGTTACTTATATTGCCCATGCCCTTCTCCCCCCTCGAGTAAGAGCAACTTTAAATAGGGCAATCAGAGAAGACCTTCATAAGAAGGTCACCCAGGAACTTAAATATGCATTTTAAAAACAAAGGAGCCAGGAGGTCTGGGGAAAGGGCTGTCTTAGCAGAAGAAATCTCAAGGGAAAGATCCTGAATTGGAATAAATGAGGTAGTAGAGCCTCAAATCTAAAGACAGGCCTTTTAGAAATCAAATTAGGTTTTATATAGGGAGAATTATTGTTTAGAATACTGCCTATTGCAGTATTCTAGGCTGTGCTATATACTTCATACCTATCCTATTTAATCTTCCCAACAATCTGGTGAGTTAGCTTATTTTTGTTTTGATTTTGTAGTTGAAGAATTGGAGACTCATAAAGGTTAAGGAGCTAGCCCAAGGTTACAAAGCTGGTATTTGAATCCCTTATTATATTTTGCTCCAAAGCCCACAACTTTTTGCTAACGTAGCATGTAGTCTTTGAGATAATCTCTTCAGGGAGATAGTGAGAGAACCAGTAGAAGGAAAATAACAAAGGTATATTAGGTAGCTAAATGTTGACAGTGATTTCTGCATGATATCCAGTACGTCTAAACCCACACAGTCCAGTATAATAGCCGCTAGCCCATGTGGTCACTGAGCATTTGACATGTGGCTAGTCCAAACTGAGATGTACTATAAGTGTAAGGTATACCCTAAATTTTAAAGACCTAATATTTCCCTCAAAAGTAAAATATCTCTTAATTTGTATATTGCTTATATGTTAAAATGATAATACTTAGGTGGTTTAGATGAAATATATTAAAATTAATTTCACCTATTTCCTTTTAATTTGTTTTAATGTGGCTTAATAGATATTTTTAAATCATGTGTGTGACTTACATTAGATTTCCATTGAACAGCACTGGTCTAGACTAATAAGTTGACAAAGAACTTTCCCCTTCTTCTAACCGTAACTTTTTCCTATATTCTTGGTTCAGGCTCCTTTTTCAAGTCTGTCCCCAAATTCTTTTGTTTGATGAAGCAAGAGAGAAGAGCTGTCCCTATTCCTTCTCCTTGACCCTCACCCTGCTGGTAAGCAGGTTATAATTTGAAGCCCACTACAAATGTCACTTTTGGACTTGATGAAATAGACTCAGTGGTTACATTCATCACCAAAACTAATCCCTTCACTCAGGTAAATCTCAAGAGGTTTCCAAACATCCTGTCACCAAGGGGTCATTTAAAATCTGGATTTAAAGTTTTAGCTTTAAATCACCTCCTAGTACAATGCCTTTGTAGTTCTTGGCACTTTGTAAAATCAGGCAAGGATATGGCTAAGACTTCGTATTTTTGTGCAAAGCTCATTAAATAAGTCATCTCATGCCGCGATAAATGTTTCTCCTTCTCTGTCCTCTTGCTTAAAACAGCTTGAACAAAAAGCAGTCCCAGTTTTTAGAAGAGCTACTCCAAGAGCATCACAAAAACCCACCTTTGGTTTCTTTTGTCCACTTGCTAAAATGGCTCTCAAACATATCAACGAAATAAAGATATAATTTCTTCCTGCAGCTTCATGTACTCTGAAAGGAAGAACAGTCAGATTCTGGTATTGTTGGGGGAACCCTCTGACCTGGGAGAGCAGAGACCTGGATTCTGCTTTTATCTACTCTGCTGGTTTGAGTGTTACCCTCACCTCCTTCCCCCAACACCCCCGCTTACTTCCTGTAGTAAGTTTAGAGTTGATGAGATAATGCCACATTAAGTGCTAATGGAGAAATGTGCTATACAAATTGGCCGCAGATATGATTGACAACCTGAATACAAATGGCTTCGGCAGATATTTGCCTTCAGGGAGGAGTTGCCTTTATGTAGCTGGAGCGAAACACTGTGTAAGATTGTCTTGAGACATACAAATAACATTGGTTCATTTCCACCTAAAATCTAAATTTGCGGGGAAATGGCAGTAAAGAAGCCGATGTGAGTGAATCTCAGTGAATCTACATCAACAGCAGCATGCATTTTTTCAGCATCTTCTAAGACAATAGGTCTGTGCTGGACTCCATGGGGAAATCAGAAAAATAATACTAGGTCGGTCCTTGCTCTGGAAGAGCATATTTCTTAGTTGGGAGAATGGATGAAAACCTAAAACACCAGTAGCAGTGTAAGAGAACATTCTTTAAGTGTTACATGAATGATACAAACAATTAAAATTTGCAATTCCAGAGGGCAGCAGGCCCCTGAGCTCTAAGATACACTGGGAAAGACTAGGTAAAATGGCCAGTAAGAGCTTGAAGGCTAGACTCGAGACAAATGGAGAGGAGAGAGCCATCCCAAGCAAGAAAAAATCCACAGTGGTGTGGCAGTGGAAACGTGCTGGGGTACTTGGTGATGTGAAAAAGAATGGTTGGCCCAACTCAGCGGCTCCAGAGCTGAGCTTCACATGGGAATCGCCTGGGAAGCTTTTAAAAAACTGCGAATGTCTCAGCCCTGCCCCAGAACTTCCATTTAATCGGTTTCAGATTGGAGCGTGGTATCAGTGGGATTTTGTTTGTTTGTTTGTTTCTTGTTTTTGTTTTAGTTTTCCTCAGAATATTCTAATGTGAAGCCAGAGTTGAGAATCACTGAGCAAAAACCAAAGTTTTTATATCATAATCATAGAACATAAAATTAAAGGAGTAATCTTTTAAAGGAGATTAATTGGACATCCAAAGAATGTGATCTTTACTTTGTGGAACTTTTGTATACACATACATTTATACGTCGTGTTTTAAATTCGCAGATAATTCCTGTGGTGCTTCTGACTGCGTGGATGATGTGGCGAAAAGTCTCTTTGTATATAATCAGATGCCCATTCCTGTCTTCTGTGTGCTTGGGGGTGCACTGTGGTCAATCCTAGCTAAACGTGGAGCAACTGGGGTCTCAGCTGCTTGTATCCACCAGGCTCTGTGCACTCGTTGCAGAGGGCTCTATTATCTCGCCCTTTAGTGCCCACAGTAGCTATTTTATAACAATCTGTAACCTTCCCTCACCTCTCCAACTTTACAAATTGGAAAATGGAGTTTAATTACTTGCCTTGGGCCATGAGGCTAACTGGGTGATAGAGGTAAAATTATTAGCACAGTTTTCAGCCACTGAATTCCCCATATCTTATTAGACTCCCAAAGTGAGTATGCCCATCTCTTATTGGTGTTAGAACACTCTGCACCTAGCAGAGTGTTCTTACATTCAGGTATTTCTTACCTGAATGAGTGTCACAGATCAGTAGGTGAGGATGACTAGTCTACCTAGGCTGCCAACACTGAGATTACAAGAGCATCGGGAGCCCACAGGCTGCCATAGCAGTCCCATAAGCCCCATCCCTGCCGCCATGGAGCCCCCAATGGAGTGAAGTTTGGTCATGTGTGTTTATTAATACAATGCAGCCACTCTTAACTCCGGGAAGTGAAGGCTCCAGTTGCTGTTCTGATTTTACTTCTCTGAGGCTGCTGTTTCCTGCAAGGATACCGACTTTTTGTTACACACTGAAAAAGAAGAAAAAAGCTTAGGGCTTTTCACAGCTGAATTTTTAAAAGAATACTGTATATGTGTTTGGAACTTCTGGGTTTATTGCCAACAATGAAACTGGGGCAGGGGTGGCTGGGGGCTGCTCTGAAGGATAGTAAAAAACCCAGAGTCCTGGCACTACGGCCTCTTTAGGACAAAAAGATAGGTCAGTTTGTGCCATCCCAAAATGGTTTTTTTGTTTTTTTCATTCTGTCTCCAAATCCATTACTGATTTATGAGCAATTTCCAAAAGATTTAGCTATAGCAAAAAGCAAACCTGTAAAACAGTAATCCCCAATGCTGATTGCACATGAGAATCAGCTCAGGAGCTTTAAAAATACCCATAGACTCACTGAATCAAGATTCTGGGAAAGGACTTGGACATCCATATTTATTACATATTTATTTACAGCTCTCCAGGTGATTATAATGTGCATCCAGGGCTAAGAAGTGCTCATCTACAATCCAAATCTTAATCACTTATTTATATTTCTTCTTTTGCCTTGTTTTAGATTCACCTGACCAAGAAAAACATTCAAACCATATTTCTGCTGGGTAAGAATTCATTCTGTTCTTTGGTAAGCATGATTTTGAGCATAATATTAAATTTTGTACTTCTATAAGCAGACCTCATACTACTCAGAGTGGCCCTGAGTAGTCTTATGACTAAAATTTCATACACTACTCAGAGTGGCCCTGAGTAGTATGACTAAAATTTCTGTCTGTGCAATTTGGAAATCAGGTTGCCAGAAGCTTGATAATTGTGAGATTGAAAGATAAATGTTAAGCATCCCTGCTACCCATGTATTAGATTTCCCAATTGCTTGTTAATATTTAATTGACCAAGACTTACTTTCTTGTCTCAGTCATTTTAAAGCTAATTAACTCCATTCTTGTTCTTACTCTTATTAAAAACATAATTGCAGCAGTAATCTACAGGGATTGTCATTGGGTAGACTTTACCAAGATAAATTGGCCAAGAACTAACTAGGTCGGGTGACACCCTCTCAAACCCAAGAAATCATTTGGGTTGCAGAAGCTACTAGCATCAGATTGGGCTAGGACAGTAATGAATTTGGGTTTGAGAAAAGCCAATTCCAAGTCACCCTAAATATGGACGAACCTAGGATATGGAGAATGATGCTTGAATCAATAAGTGTCTGGTTAAGTCTGAGATGCCAATTTTTTTCAGAAGATTGAGAAGCTGGTCACTTTCTCCATAATGCTAATACTGTAATTGCAGTCATTTAATGAGCATATACCATATGCAAGGTCTTGTTTTAAAAATTTCATGTTTTAAAAATTTCACATTTTAAAATTTTTCTTTAGTACCAAAAAAGGGATGAGGTTTTCATATTAGATTTGATGGGGGAGGTTGGGGGTGCAAAATATGGAAAATGATGTCCCATTTTTACTTTTAAGGGATGCTGAGATTATAGGATCGGGAGAAAATAAGAAATTGTTAAGTTGATTGTAGGGAGAAGGATGGGCAAAGACCTGCTGTTAGTCAAGTATCTTGGGCATCAAAATTTTTTATTTATTCAACTAATATTTATGAAGGTTCTGCTATATTCCAAGGACCCACTACAGGAACTGCTGTAGTGTGGTGTAGTGTGGTGACATTCTGTGGTGACAACTGCTGTAGTGTGGTGACATTCCTGCTTTTGTGGAGTTTACATTCCAATGAGAGGAAACTGATATCCACATTAAAAACCAAGTAAATAAAATCAAATAAATTAGTGCTATGAAGAAAAATGAAATGAGGTAAAGGGAAAAGACTTTGATGAGAGTCGCTTTTAATGGCTTGTAAGAATTGTCCTCTCTGAGGCGGTGGCATTGGCATTTGGGCCAGCCACCGATGCTAAAGAGAAAACCACACAGAGATCTGGGAGAAAGAAGGCTCTGGGCTGAGGGAACAGCAAGAGCAAAGGTCCTGAGACTGGAAAAGGTTTGACATGTTCAGGAAACAGAAAGGGCAGTAGTGTGGACCTTAGCAGGGAAGCGATGAGAGTCTGAGTCCAGCAGAACAGCCAAGAGGGCCCTAGGGCATGGGATGGAGTCAGGAATTTAAGTGCTTTGAAAAAGTCATTAGGAGGTCTTCAGCAGGGGAGGGACATGCTCAACATTGCATTTTAGAGCTCTGGTAGGCTTCTATGCAGAGGATGGATTATAGACCGGAAGCAGAGAGACTGTGGGAGGCTGAGCAGGGTACAAGCAAGAGGGGAGGGTGGATCACACTAAGGTGACAGCCGGAGAGCAGAAGAGGTGTTGAATTCAGGGTGGAATTTGCAGGTAGAGTCAGCATGGCTTTCCCGTTGACAGAGCCGGCAAAAGTGCTGGCAAACCTAGCCCTTTCTGAGATCATTTGCCCCTGCCCTATCCCAACATGGACCTCTGGTTTTGAACCAAAATAGAATAACATCTAGTGCTATTTGAAAACATTAGGAATTTTGACTTTAACTTATTTAAGCAGGGGGAAAAAAAGAAAAAACACATCCCTGCCCAAGGAGAAACTTGTTTGCTGCTTTTTGCTTCCTAACCATAAAAATCTCATCCTGTCTCATAAGACTATTCTGATGGATTTTGTTGTTTTGATTACAGTGCTCTTCATAGATGCTGGAAAGGTCACGTTCAAGTTACTAGTTTATTTCTTTTCTGAGTATTTTGACATTTTGCCCGTATTTATCAAGTCCTTCCTGCTGTCAGATATTTATTTACATGGGACTTTCTGCGGCTGGTCACTTTCTCCATAATGCTAAGACTATAATTGCAAGCATTTAATGAGCATTTACCACATGCAAGGTCTTGTTTAAAAACTTCATGTTTTAAAAATTTCATTCAATCCTCCCAGCCACCCTTTATAATAATAAATGGGTGATCTTATTATTATCATTTTATAGATGAGGAAACTGAGGCATAAAAGAGGTTAAGTCGTTTGCCCAAGATGGTACAGCTGATAAGAGCAAAGCCAGGTTTTGAACTGACTCGGGCTGCTGCAGAGCTCTGGGTTCTTAGCCACCATGTTGTGCTACTTTTCTGTATAACTGAAACTGCCACCTTCAGAACTAGGCTTGTTTCTCCTGCAAAAAAACCAGCGATGCCACTAGGAGGCACTACACCTGGGCAGCACTTTCAGGAGTGGGACCGGTGGGGATACAGCATAATGCAGAGGCTGAATCCTGCCCCTCTGCAGGAGGGGCTCACATTGAAACCACCTGCCTTCTGCCAAGCTGGGACGATAAGCCTCCTACTCCCCCTGATGAAACATCCCCTCTTCTCCACAAACTCTTTCTGCCCACTACTCATAGTTCCTGTGTTGTGCCCACCCACCTGCTTCTTCTCAAAGGACTGAAGAAACCAAAGCTACTCAAGAAATTCTAGTTGCTCCCTCCAGCCATCTGAGGCTGGCCTTCAGAAATACAAACAAAAAGAGTTATTCATTTTTTTGTTACCATCTTATTTGCTTTAAAAATATTGATGGCCCCTCCCCAGAGTTTTATCAGTAGAAGTGAAATAAGCTTGGAGAACATAATAGTTCAATGTCTTCTCTACCTTCCGCTGTATATCTGCTTCTAGAAAATTCTCTCAAGTTACTTGGTTTCCTAATAATCAGCAAGAAAGTAACAGACCTTCCCCCTTTCCAAATGATAGGATTATCATAATGACAATGGATTTAGAAGAATCCAGGTTTATACAAAGAAATGCATTAAGATTTCTTTAACTTGAGTACTGATTTTTTTCAGCAGTAGTTATAAAGGCAGTAATTGTGATGTTTTGTTTTCTATGCTATAAGTTCACATTTGTTATATATTTTAATTAAGTAGAAAGCACATTTTTTTCTTTTTTTGCTCCAGTACCATAGAGCAATTTTCAGTAGAGATTAACATGCATTCACTGGAATGTTGGATTTATCTAATCAAGAATCATCAATCTGTTCATTCAACTATTTGATTTTCAATGAAAATGTTATCTTGAAATATTATACAATACGTATCAGCTATTTCTTATGGTTATCTTAACTTCCAAATTCAAAACTGCAAAAGCAAAAAGAAATTTGAGATATAGTTGCATTAAATCTTAGTCTTAATTAAGTTTGGAAGATTGTAGTGGCTACATCAATAATATTTGAAAGTTATTTCAAGTCTTTGAATATTCTGTAGCTCAGAATCCTACAGACCTCGATTTTTTAAAAAATGTATTTTCAAATCAGTAATGTAAATTCCTTCTTTATTGTAATGTTTTTGGTTAAATATTTAGTAGAAAGTAAGGGTGAATATTATCAAATGTAGGTATTTCCTAAGCTAAAACCGAGTAATCAAAGCTCAGAGCAATGTGATAGCAGTTACATGATCACAAGGATGACTCCATTGCCTCATTCAGGGTTTGAGTCAATGAGTTTTATTTTTCTTTTAGCAACTTTTATGATTTTACTTTTCAAAGGATGTAATTAAAACCATAACACCATTCATATCTGTAACTCTTAAAATTTTATTTCTCTCTGTATATAACTTAAAATTCAAAGGTGCAAAAGAGTATTCATAAAAAAATATGTCTCCTTGTACTTCAGCCTTTACAAAAATACACCATGCATATGGATGTGGGCCAGATGTCCTTTTTAACTTATCTCACATCTGAGATGCTATGATTCTATGAAGCCACAGACTATACACTATTGCTGAAACCCCAGTGGCACTAACACTGACTGTGTATTGGTCCTGGAGCTTCCTTTTTAAACTCAAGTATATTATTCAATGTGGCTATTTGAGGGTGAACAGCAGTACTTTCAGAGAATGATTTATCTATCAAGTATAGAAGAAGAGCTGAAATTACACAAGATGCCCACATCTAGGTATTAGTGAGCATGCGCTTTTAGTGATGACTTTACAAATAATCCAAATGGAGTTGTGTTAAGTAGCAGGGTGAGAGTCCTGGGATCTATGCCTACTTGGGTTCAGTCTTCTGCAGAGACTTGGCAATGTTGGGGCTCACTTGAGCCCCAATGCTGGCATGCATTCCCACTTTCAGGAGGTTGGAGAGATAAACTCCTCTCTGCATCAGGGTCTCAGGATATCACAGGTCTCGGAATTCTCAGCAGAAAAGGACTGCATGGGTTGGATGTCCAGAAGAATGGGTGGAATTGAAAATCAGTCAATGGAGCTCACTACTTATTAAGATTTGGGAGGAGGAGAAGGATAGGCAAAGCCTGTGGCCCAAAGGAGAATTTTAAAATGTATTCATTTCAACCATGGTGTTATCCCATAACTTTCCTGTATCTCTTCGTGTCATATAAGAACATGCTTCTTGATCAACACCACTACATTATGAGCTACCTGAGGGCAGGATTATGACTGATTTTCCCTTGTATACGCTGCCCCAGAGCCTAACAATGTCTTTCAAATTGCAATATTCAGTAAGTGGATTAAACTTTTTAGAAATTAATGTTTTAAGTCATCGCATAGTACAGATGGTTAGAAACTGAATCCTTATCAGCCTATCTAAGTTCAAACCAATTCACTCTCCATGTGGCCTAAAGAAATGAAAGTTTGCTAATTATCTATATAGGTCTGTACTGAAAGAT